CATAGATCCAAGGTTTATAGGGTTGCATGTACACCATAGGAGTGTTAGAATGCTCAAAACCCAACAGAGTACGCCCAGCGTACCAGAGGAGTACGCCCCGCGTACGTCCTCTATTGGGCCTTTGATAAATTGGGCTTCAGGATTGGGCCACTTTTGGACTAATTGGACTTGGGCCTTGTTGGGCCCTCAGAATAATTAAAGTTGGGCTAGTTTTTATAAGGGATCCTATAATAAGGCCCAATTAAGAAGTTAGGCCCAAATTAGGAAATTTGGGCCATTAATGGGCCTTGGATATATGGGCTTTTAAGATCATGGATTTGGCAATTGGGCCTTGGCCCAATATAGAGGAAGGACAAAAAGGATTATGTGGACCCTTAGTCAAGATTGATATTCCATGTATTGACATAATGTTTATTATTTGGATAGTTCAGGATTTTTGGTGAGCCAGCGATTCAGAGTTTGATTCTTCAGTTCAGACCGACATTGCGTGGTGAGTTATCCTCACTATACTAAGGGGTCTAAGGCACCAAGGCCGACCCATTGGATTTGATATCCTAGTAGTTGATTAAGTGTTGAGTATGAGATGATTATGCATGCTAGTTTGCTATGCCAGTTAGGTAGATCTGTAGGACTACCTGTGTTACTGTTTAATTATCTGTACATGCTATTAGCTGTAGATGTAGACATGTTGTATGGGTAGGGTTGAGGTTGCACTGTCTCGTGCAGTGACCAACAAACCCTGGAGTATGCCAGATATGAGCTGAGGGCCGGGAAGGCATATCAGACTCATACTGAGGACTCATTAGCATACCAAATACGAGCTGAGGACCAAGTGGTATGACAGACTCGTACTGAGGGCAGATCAGTTATGTTTCAGATTAGGACCGAAGAGGGCAAGCTAGTCATAATTTGTGGGCTCGAAAGCAAACCAGACTTATGTTGTGGGCTCGGAGGCAAGCCAGTTGTGAGCTGTGGGCCCGGAAGGCAAGCCAGACTTACACTGTGGGCCCAGGGGGTAATCCAGTATGTAAAGTTGTGGACTCATTACATGTTGTTATTATGTGTGTTGTTTGTCATGTATCGGTATATTGGGGGAACTCACTAAGCTTCGGGCTTACGGTTTCAGTTTTGGTTTCACGTACCCTCAGAGGATCGCGAGAAGGCAAAGGCATGATCGTACAGCTCCTCACATTCTATGACTATGTTTCTGGGATTCTCTGATATAGAACTATTTTGAAAACAAATTTGTAATAACTGTTGGTTTCTAAATGTTTTTAAAAGTTAAAATTTGGCTTAATTTTTATGGGTGTTACACCTATCAAGTTGACTTTGACTGTTACCTTTTGACCATAATTGAATTTGGGTCAATTTAGAGGATTTAGGGTGTAGACTGAGTGTGTACTTCTTTATTGATGTTAGGTGATTCGTAGTACCAGTCATCATCGTGTGAGAGCTGTCTTGATTTAGCTGCTATCTATGAGGTGAGTATTTTCACTACATCTATCTGTATGGTATTTATGTATGTGACCAGCTGGGTCTTAAGTTTTTATTATTGTTATGTGTGAATTGAATTTAATTTCTGATAACTTCGGGATTTCTAAGAATCCCTAGGGTTGCTTATAACCCCTGGAACATGCGGTTAATCCACATGACGTGTAGTCAGCCCACTGGGATTGCTGATAATCCTTAGGGTTGCGGATAACCCATAGTTGCTTATTATGTTATGTTGTAAGGATATTTTGGGAAGGACTCACTAAACTTTATGCTTACAGTTGTGGATTAAATGTGTTTCAGGTACTTTCGAATGATCGTGGGAAGATGAAGGCTTAACTATACACACCGACTCACAGATTTTATGTTTTCCACATTTTGATACTCTGATTGGGATGATTGTATTGTTATTCCTGGAATTTTTCGTGACTTGGTTTTTATGATACTTTTGGTTTTTTCTAAAAAAAAAATGAAAAATTTTGTTGTAAAAATCAGTATGTTACAACACTTAACGCCATGAGTGTCTTCACATTAATCTTCATCACCATCTTCACATAAGCCCACACAGTCTTCGTATCATCAAAAACTAATCTTTAAATATATAAAAGCGTTTAAAAATGTATAAAAAACCTAGCTTTACATGTATAAAAAAAACGTTTTTAAGTTTCTTTTTTGATTTAAATATTTTTATACATGTATTTAATAATATGTGTAAATATGCTTAAATGAAAAAAAGAACATTGAAAACGTTTCTTAAAGTGTAAAAATATATAAAAACGTTTTTCATATATATTTTGAGACAGTTTACGAAATACTCTCACTATTTTGGTTTTTGCAGAAAAATCTCAATATTTTAGGTCAGTTTACGAAATAGTCTCACATTAATTTGTTACGGGCTGAACCGGGAAAAATGGTCAGAATACAACCTTTTATCGGTTATTAGGACTTTTTTGTAAAATTAAAAAGAAATTTTTTTGACTATTTCGTAAATCGGCCCAAAATATTATGATTGTTCAGGTGATTTCCATTTTAAATATGACGCATCAACCTTTGTAATTAAAATTCACATAGTATATAACAATA